GGGTTCGCGCGGCGGTCGCGGGTCTCGAGGCGGCGCGCTCACGAGGTTAGCCGCGCATCACAAAGTCGGAGAAGGAGCAGCTCGAGAGGGAAAAGGCCGAGAGGCAACGGGTGGCCGAGATGAACGCAAAGGGAAGCGGCAGCTACGTGTTTCAGCCGCAAACGCCGTCGCTCGCGGTCGGGACGGCTGGCGCATAGAGTGCGCCGGACTACGGACTTTCGAGCATGATGCGGCCGGCGCCCGACGCGGCTGCGCTGGGCGTCGCCACGCGGTCCCAGTTGAAGATGGAGCATGATGCCTGAGGACTTGAGTCACTGTGGCTTTCTGCGGACTGCTACCGAGACAGTGGTGCTGTGGGTGTTTTTGCAGTGGTGGTCGTCACGTCATGTGGGCGGCGTGTTCCTGTATATTGGCCATGGTCCTGGCCGGCCTGCCACCGGTGTTTTGACTGCTTCTTGGCCAGACATGGCGCACGGTCATGGTCTGGACTGCGCTTGTGGGTATGATTTGCGAGCGGCGTTGGGCCTGGGAGCTGGCGCTGGGCATGCAGGTGCTGCGAAGCGATGGATTAATTCAGGCATTGCTCATGACTATGAAGTCGAAGAGAGCAGGTTCATAACATGGTGGGTTTGATACGAGTTGTAGGGGTGAAGCTTGACTGCCGTTCATGAGACTGACCTCTTCGTCTCGCCAAGGGAGTGGACGTCATGCTCTCGGGACCCTGACCCACAGACCGAGAACCGCTGCGGAAGCAGCGGGGCGGTACCTAGGTACCTCCACCTTGGGCACGAGGAGACAAAAGGCCACACTCTTAAGGTACCTAAGCTCATTGGACCGTTATATGTATCGAACAAGCTCAAAATTACCGAAAGTACATAATTATCTACACATGCAACCAGTTGCCTAGTAAGTAGAGTTGAAATATTCAATTGAGATGCAGGGTATGAACAGGTTCTGAAGCAGGTCCATCTAGATGCTGTATTCGGCGGGTTCGAGTGCGCTTCATGTCACCCTTCGCTAGGTACCTTGGGTACCTACCCAGGCACGTACCGTACTAAGCAGACGATAAGATAAGCCAAGATTTCGCACAGCATCCCCACAGCCAGAAAATTTCAAGAGGGCGGTGGGCAGACGCAGCCAGTGGGAAGGCGCCTCTTCTGCTGATTTCCCTTCCCGCCTTCTTTCCACCTGAGCGTCCTCTGCCACTTTTGCGATTGCCCTGCCTGTTTGCCCGACTTTGCAGCACTCTTAGGATCGATCACAGGACAGAAGAGGACAGAAGAGGATATCACGTTGGGACAGAATGACGGATTCGTCGCTGCAGGTTCGTTGCCGCCCGTTTTTGAATGACCTTTACCTTCTGCCTGCTGCTGGCCGTTGCGGCGCCCCGCCATGCGAAGAGGAATATACAAAATGGAGGAGAAGGGACGATGCGGAGAGACAAGCTCGAACGGCAAAGCTGACTGATTGCCCTGCGTAGGATCGCTTGCGCGACCATGCAAAGGCCTTTGACGGCTTGCTGTCGCTGATCCCGGCCAAGATGTACTATGGGGAGGATACCTCTGTATGTTCTCTCCCTCTCCTTGTTGCAAGAAATCTTCCCCTCCTTGTTGAAAACCCTCTCCTTGTTGCAACAAATCTTCTTGTTCAAACCTACCCCCGCATCACCGCTCACAGCCCCAGGACCAGTGGAACCGCAAAAAGCAGACCAAGGCCGAGGCAAAGGCCGCCCGCATGGGCAAGCTCGACCCCGACAGCGACCGCAACCGCAACGCAAAGGACGTCATGGAGGAGCGCGCCAAGAACAAGCGCAAGCTGCAGGAGATGGAGGACGCCGAGCAGGCGGCGCAGCCCAAGCCGGCGCCCGCCGCGGCGGAGCAGGCGGAGGACAAGGAGCCGAGCACCGCGCAGCAGGATGTAGAAAACGACAACGACGCCCCCGGCGTCGTGCAGGAGACGCCCGGCCAGGGCCTCAGGAGACGGGACCTCATTGCGAATAAGAAGCTCAAGATCGACCGCGACTTTGAGCAGGATACCCTCGTTGGCGTCAGCGATGCCAACCCTGCCGACATGACGCAGGATCAGCTCATGAAGCTCGCCAAGCGCGACGGCCAAAGGGCGGACCGCAAGGCCAAGCAGGCGCGGCAGGCGGAGAAGAAGGCGAAGAAGCTGGCTGCTAAGGAGGCTGCTTCTGCTACTGCCAGCCAAAAGGTGAAGGAGGAGCCGGTCGAGGCCAGCGAGCCAGTCAAGGCCAGCGAGCCAGCCAAGGCCGACACGAAGGCCACCGGGGCGAAAAAGGCAAAGGAGCAAAAGCCCACAAGCAAGACAGCCGCCAACCCCCCGTCGGACGACGGCTACGAGACGGTCGACTCGGAGGCTGAGGCTGAGACTGGCAAGCCCAGCCTCGACATTGCCGGCCTCGAAGAGAAGCCTGCATCCACAGCATCCAGCCAACGCTCACCCTCGCACTCGCCCGTGTTCGACGAAGCCGCGGCACCAGCCTCGGGCAGCGCGGCCACGTCGGTCGACGTGCCCCCGTCAGACAAGCCCAAGCAGCTCAAGATCCCACAGGACACATCGGCGCTCAAGGCGCGTCTGGCAGCGCGCATAGCGGAACTCCAGGCGGCGCGCAAGGCCATCGGGCCGGACGGCAAGCCGATCCGCACACGGCAGGAGCTCATCGAGGCGCAGCGGGCGCGGCAGGCGCAGCGCAAAGCGCACAAGCAGGAGCAGCGGCGGCAGGCGCGGCTCGAGGAGGAGAGGCAGCGCGACGAGGCGCTCGCGTCCAACTCGCCGTCCATCATGTCGCCGGCGCTCGACCACCTGCTCGGCGACGGCGCCGCCGAGCCGCCGACCGACTACACGTTTGGCCGCGTCGCCTTTGACGACGGCACGCGTATGTCGCGCGACCTGACGCACGTCCTCGGCACGCGCAAGAAGAAGGGGCCCTCGGACCCCAAGACGGCGCTCCTGCGGCTGCAGAACCAGAAGAAGAAGCACGCGGCCCTCGACGACGCGCGGCGCGACGACATTGCCGACAAGGAGACGTGGCTGACGGCGCGCCGCCGCGCCGAGGGCGACAAGATCCGCGACGACGAGGCGACGCTCAAGAAGACGATCAAGCGCAAGGACAAGCAGAAGCGCAAGAGCGAGAAGGAGTGGAAGGACCGCACAGAGGGCGTCGCCCACGCCAAGGCCGAGAAGCAGAAGAAGCGCGAGGCCAACCTCAAGAAGCGCAAGGACGACAAGAAGCTCGGCAAGGCCGGCCGCAAGGCCGTCGGCGCCGCCGCCAAGAAGAAGGGCCGCCCCGGCTTCGAGGGCGGCTCCTTTGGCGGCAAGAAGAAGAAATGAGGCCTCTGCTCGTCTTGAGGAAAAAAAAAAAAAAAAAAAAGGCCACGGCGGGCCCCCCGGCGCGGGGTGTATGATGTGTGAGCGGATCGAGCTTGTTCTTTCGCAATGGGCGTTGGCGGCGCTGTCCACGTATCTTTTGGTTTTTGTCTTCTTCTTCTGCGTTCCATGCTGCATCATGAAAAGGGGAGGCGGCGGAAATACATAGCCTTGAATCGAGACATGTAACCTTGGCGATTCTTCTCGTGTTCGCTCAGTGACCGCACTGCTCTACTGCTCAATCACATCTTCAACGGCCTGGAGTCATGCTTCACCAACACCAAACACACGACCACGGCACTCATCTTTGTGATATCAAGACACTGCACGCAGAAGGGCACACGAGGAAAGAAAAGAAAGTTTGAGAATAGAGAACAAGACAGGAGCTAGGTCACGACATGATCCCACGCCCTTCCCTCGCCCGGGCTACATTTCGAAATTCGACTCTGCCAGCCCCCCAACTAGCACCTCAAGGGAATACACCCCCTGCTGCCCATCATGACCCCCTCTCCGTGATCCACCAATTCGTTCTATCCCTCCCCCCTTCTCTCGTCCGCCGACATTACTTCGCAACTAATTTTTTCATGGCCTCACTTTTGATCGATGTGCTGGAGGGTCGGGAGGCGTGGGTGTCGGGACGTCGGACTTCACGAGGTGTGCAGCCCATGACGCGAGAATGTTGTTTCAAATGGTCGTCAGCCCGGATATATCGCCAGGCACGCTGTGTACGGTAGAATGAAGTCGGAGTTTATAGCAGGGAGTCGAGGCGGGTGAAGACGCTGAGGCACGCGGCGACGACCTCGAGCTGGAGCTCCTTGTCCTTGTTGTTGTTGCATTCCTGTGCGCTCGTCAGCAGTCTGCGGTGAGGGGGGTGGCAACAGTCGTCTTACCTCGGCCACCGCCTGGGGCAGGTTGGCGCCAATGCGTTGCTGACGGCCTTCTTGCCAAAGGGCCACTGGCTGTAGTCGGCGAGCAGCTCGTCGGTCTGGGCAAAGGCGCGCTCGCGGGCCTCGTGGCCGAGCGGCGTCAGGGCGTTCTCGAGCACGTTGGCGGCGTAGGCGGCGCAGACCATGGCCAGGGTGCGGACGTAGCGGAAATCGAGGCTCTCGGGGAGGAACTGCGACGGGGGCAGGACGACGGTGCGCTGGGTCAGGATAAGGCGTACACGGCGGCGGATCTCTTCCTTGGCGCCGCCGTCGGCGACGGGGTGCGTGGCCATGTCGAAGAGGAGGAAGTTGCGCTTCTCGGTGCGGAGGATGCCCTTGTCGACGAGACCCTTGGCGAGGCGCTCGCGAACTTGTTTTAGTTGGTAGCCAATCTTCATGAGGTTCCACGTCTCGCCTGCGTTCCGTTAGCCAACTTTTTTCTCTCTGCCCCTTCGATCCTGATGCGTGGTGGTGCTTACCGCTCATCAGGTCCACCCACGAGCTGACGCTCATCTTCTCGCTCTGCTTCATCATCTTGAGGGCCTCGTCGAGGAGAACCTCGCCTGTCAGGGTATCGTCGATCACTTCGATGAGGCGGTCGGCGAGGGGAAAGCGCCGCCTCGAAGGGTCCTTCTGCATGCTGACGCGGCCACGCAGGGCGAGCTCGAGGACGATGCAACCGCGGAGGGCATACGAAATGTTGTCGTTCCAGAAAGAGAGGTATCCCTGCATTGCGTCTGGTCAGTCACATTGGGCCCTATCCTCTGGCCCCGTACCATCGGTCGGCGCGGATTCGTCCCAAAGGGAGAGAGGAAGAGAAACCGACCTGCTTGTCCTTGAGGCCCAGCAGCAGGACCTCCTCCATGAGGGTCAGCTTGGGCTGTTTGCTGCGCTCGGCACTCTCGCTAATGTCACGAGGGTCAAAAGCGATCTTGTGGCCGTTCTCGCCGCTCTCATAGCTCGTCTCGGGGGCGCTGTCGCGGAAGTTGGAAGAGCTGTTTGTACGGCTGGCGGCGTTGCTGGCGCCCTCGCCCGTCTCGTTGCCGGGACCAGCGCCACCACCGCCTCCGCCGCGGCGTCGCGTGAGACCGCCTTGCGCTGCTGACATGGCGATATGTCGGTTCTGGATAGGGGAGATGTTGTTTGTCGGGGTGTGAGCCGTGGGGGGTGGTGCCTAAAGTCCAGTCGGCGGCGGTATCTGGGGGACCCGCTCGTAAAAGGGTGTCAGGCTCGCTGTCTGGTGGGATGGCCGCGATACAGATGCGGCAATGGGTGGGCAGTCGGCGTTGTGCGATGGGTGTGGAGGCAGCTCCAGACGGAATTGTGAAGGGTACGGCTTGAGCTAATGCTGGACCACACGTTCGAGGGGTGGACAGGTAGTGAGGCGATAGTGCAGAGGTACCCTGAATACTGACTCGAGGGGCGCCTTGGGTGTGGCAGCGGGAAGATCGGTGTGCGGACAGGGCTCCCAAGGGGTTATCGGGACGGGTCGGCAGTGATCCCTATCCAATTCGGCGGATGAGGGTTGATGGCGGTGGGAGAAAGGGAAGCGATTGAGGAATCGACAATCTAGGTTCGTGTCGTGTGCCAAAGGCGTGTCGTATCACGGGGTTTAGGGGGGGGCCTTCTCCTGAAGATTTGGGGCCAGGGAATTTCTCGCAGCCTGTCCTTGTCCGATGTTCCTTCCCTTACTCTTGCTTGCTGGTGCTGGTGCTGGCGCTGACTGTTGACTGCTGGCACCTGGTGCAGCTACAGGCTACAGGAGGCCCCTAGCGAACTGTACCCACTGCCCCTGCTGCACCGGGGCCTCACTTTGCTCGTCTCGGTTTACATGTACACGTGCACCAGCCCCGTGCACGGGCCAAGAGGCTGCACGTTTTGGCCTGTCGTTTTGTTTCAGCAGCCCAACAACGTCTCTGTCTGCTGGACGCTGACTGCTCCAGGGCCACATTAGCGGGACCTATTAGCTTTTCGGTCTCTAACTTTTTCAAGGGAGATGGGTTATCCAAAGACTAATACTCTATAATTGTTCACATTTCACTTTCCAGCCATGACCATGCTCTCAGAACTGTCAATTGTAAAATCATCGAAATTAAGTCGACTGCCGCAGCGCTGTAGCGTTGATAGACCCACAAATGCCAATTAACCCGTGTGAGCCTTTGATTCGACAGCACGAAGCACAGTCGCCACGGCCCTTTTCCCCTTTGCTACCCATACAAGCTACTTCGTACATCTCGATGCCAGGCTTGGTATTCTCGACAGCGTAGGCAGATAAGCATGGCCGATAAGATGATACGCCGCAGGGTCCTGGCAAGAAGCTTGGCGATCTCACGTCTGTCGCATCCTTCACTTATCGTCTCTACCCAGCAATGGGACCAAGTGTATCTCGGACAAGCCAGCTAGAGCACAAAAAGTCTGGCAACACAAGGACCAAACACATGGTTTGTATGCCATTGGTGGCAAGACATCATCCCTCGTGTCACGAACCGAGGATATTGATGACTGAGCGCCACCGCTTGCACGTGGCACGACGAGAGCAATCTCAGAAATGAAACCAGTCGTGTGCACCTTGCGGATTGACGCTTGGCGGGGAAATTCACATGTCTGCCTCATCTCTGCCGGAGCAGGCCTTGGTTCCGTTAGCACCAGTATGTATGGCGAAAAGTCCCTAATGGATACCTTCAGTTCGTATTTGACACTCATTCTACCAGTCGTCATGAGCACCTCATTGGATGCCAGGCTAACCGCAAATCACTACTTACGGACGCAGCATCCATCAATAACATTAAGGCACATAGGTAGCCACCTGCCACACTGACCCCGCCAAACGATATGAGCCACGCTTGGGCAGCATCGCCCGCCCACTGCCATCCACTGCCTGCCACAGCAGCACAGTGGGGGGGTCGTACCCGCAAATCCCTGCCCTGATTGGCGGCTGAGGCCAGAGCTCCAGGGGCTTGCCGAGCCTAAGCCTCTTTTCCTCCGCCCGCCGTCCGCCGGCAGACCAGTGGCAGGCCCCCAAGGCCCCTGGGAGATCGCGGCGGGCGATCGGCCAGCTGCCGTCAGCCGCCAGGGTGACATGTACCTCTCTGCTCCGGCGCTACCTGCCTCGACGCCTTACCTGGTACCGCAAGGGAGGCAGGCAGGTACCTACCTGGCCAAGGTGTGCCGCCAGTGTACCTGCCTGTCAGACCAGCGACGGGCGACCGTCAGGGAAAAATCCTCTATCACAAAAATCCCAAACCCGCCTTCGCCGCGTTCCCCTTCTTTCCCTTTCACTCCTCCTCCAGCCCACATCACCACACACCGGTTCGCGCCAACCTTTTCCCCCCTCCCCTCCCCCTCTCCCCCTTGGGGTGTCTCCCATCTTCTTTCTCTCCCGCCTCAGACGTTCTACGGATTTTTTCTCTTCTTCCCACCATCCAGACTCTCTCCTCCACCGACTCCCGCCTCACCCAGCAGCCGGCCGATCGATCGATACTTCATCGCCATCGCTATCGCCCTCGCTCGCCCACCGCCAGACACGTCATCTTCTTCCCACGCCGTCACCGAGTCGTTAGGCTCTCCAGCACAGGAAAGCTCCTTGTGATGGCTTTCAGGTCGACCCAACCAGACAAGCTTGGCTTGGCTCCCGAACGGAACCGACGCAGCTAGGATTACCCACCCCGCCTCATTGCTCGGTCAGAATCACCAGTGAAAAGACGACGACTCCTTCTCCAAACCAAGAACCAACACACCTCGAACCGAAAGATTAGCTCCTTGTGTCGAACTAGCAGAAGTCCACGGGCAAACCAAACTTCAGCCACCTCACAAAGCCATCTTTGAGAAAGAAACAAGAAGACCACCAAGAAAAATCCAACCGATTCCTCCCCCTCCCTTCAAAAGAACGTTTTCTCTCGCGCTGCAACCTCTCAACTTTCTGCAATCGACTTGCGCTGTACTTTCACTAGTCATGGCGTCCCCGTTGCAGTTTGCCTACCGAACCCAGAAGCACATTGGTGTCACCGATGCCGCGCCCGTCTATGCGCCGCTCGCTGGGTTCACCAACCCCGAAGGGAACAACCGGTGTTGTGAGTACTCACCCTGTGGTCGCTATTTCGCCTGGGCCGATCCCAAGCTCGTCTCCGTTGTCAATGCTGCCGACGGCACCCCCGTGCTGTCTCTACCCATTGCCAACGTCTACGAGCTCGGCTTCTCGCCCCTCGGCACCTTCCTCGTCACCTGGGAGCGCCCCGGCAAGGACGAGAATGGCGATGCCACCAAGAACCTGAAGGTTTGGCGCACCATTGAGGACGGTGTGCCCGCCGAGGAGAAGCAGCCCCTGGGCCGCTACGTCCAAAAGTCTCAGGGAGGCTGGAACCTGCAGTACACCGCCGACGAGAAGTTCTGCGCCCGCCAGGTCACCAACGAAGTCCAGTTCTACGAGAGCCACGATCTCGGCACCGTCTGGAACAAGCTGCGCGTCGAGGGTGTCACCACCTTTGCCCTCGCGCCTAGTAACAACCACTCTGTTGCCGTCTTCATCTCGGAGCGCAAGGTATGAATATCTCCATGTGCATCTCATATCTCACTCGTTGATGCTGACTGATCCCTCGCAGGGCCAACCCGCCGCCGTCAAGGTCTACAGCGTCCCGCAGTTCGCCCAGCCCATCTCCCAGAAGACCTTCTTCAAGGGCGACAAGGTCCAGCTCAAGTGGAACAACAAGGGCACGAGCCTGCTTGTGTTGGCTCAGACCGACGTCGACAAGTCGAACAAGAGCTACTACGGCGAGACGACCCTGTACCTGCTGAGCGTCAACGGCTCCTTTGACGCCCGCGTACCCCTCGACAAGGAGGGTCCCATCCACGACGTGACGTGGTCGCCTAATTCGAAAGAGTTTGGCGTCATCTACGGCTACATGCCCGCCAAGTCCGTCATCTTCAACCACCGTGCCGTCCCCACCCACTCGTTCCCCCTCGGCCCCCGCAACACCATCATCTTCTCGCCCACCGGCCGCTTCGCCCTGCTCGCCGGCTTTGGCAATCTGGCAGGCCAGATTGATGTGTACGACCTCGAGAAAGACTTCCGCAAGGTCACGACTATTGAGAGTGGCAACCCCAGCATCTGTGTCTGGAGCCCCGACAGCCGCTACATCCTTACCGCCACCACGTCCCCTCGTCTCCGTGTCGACAACGGCGTAAAGCTGTGGCACGTTGGCGGTAGCATCATGTACAATGAGGACATGACTGAATTGTACAACGTTCTGTGGAGGCCCATGGCCCTCGATGCCGTGGCCGGCGGCGACCCTCTGAGCCCCGTGCCCACGCCTCACTCGTCGGCGACGACCTACCTCGGCACCATCAAGACGCCTAGCAAGCCCGCCGGTGCCTACCGCCCCCCCGGCGCTCGTGGCCTCGCCACGCCTCTGCACTTCAAGCGCGAGGACGAGGGCGGCTCAGTTCATGTCGTGGGCAGCGGCTATGGTCCGACCAACGGCGCGACGCCCATTGGAGCTAACGGCTTTGGTCGCCCCCGTCGCGGCGTTCCAGGTGCCGAGTTTGCCCAGGGCGTGCCCGGTGCCGCCCCCGCCATTCCGGGCGCCGCGCCTGCCGATGGCGATGAGAACTTGTCAAAGGCGGCGCAGAAGAACAAGAAGAAGCGAGGCGGCCGCAAGGGCAAGGACGGCGAGGGTGAGGGTCAGCCGCAGGGCCAGGGACAGGGCCAGGGACAGCACGGTCAGGGCCGCGGAGACGGCCGCGGTCACGGCCGCGAGGGAGGATACGCTAACGGCGGAGCCTCTCTGGCACCTCCCTCGCACGACCACCGCTCTGGGTCCGGCAGCGACGGACGCAGCCCCGAGCGTCGCGGTGGCGGTCAGCACCGCCAGACCCTTCGCAGCCAGTCGAGGAACCCCGGCCGCCGCAACAGGAGCAACACGGCGCGCGGACAGAACGGCGCCCCTCCCGTTCCGACCATGCAAGATGGCCAGCTGGGCGGCGCCGCCGCCGGTGGTGCTGCCGTCGACATGTCGCAAAACCCGGACGCCAAGAAGATTCGCAGCCTGCAGAAAAAGGTGCGGGCCATCGAGGACCTCGAGATGCGTCTCGCCGGCGGCGAGAAGCTCGAGGACACGCAGATGAAGAAGATCACGACCAAGTCGTCAGTCCTCAAGGAGCTCGAGGCGCTCGAGAGGTCGTGAGCGTCGTTGTTAATGGATGATCTGTAGACGAGAAGTCGGTCGAGGAAAATTGGGCAAATGGGATAAAGGGTGGTATAGCTGTGGGCAAAAGTTGGGTTCACTACGGCCTCGGACTGCATGGCCAGTCGGCCGCAGAAGGCACGAGGCAGGCTAGGATATAGCTACTGAGGAGGTCAGGGGCGTTCCTCATCAGTGCAGGCCCCCTTGGACCACGGCCCGGGGCGAGGGTAATGCAGCCATCAGGACAAGAATGAAAGAAGCCGGGCGTCTTGCTCGAGCCTACTGCATACTGTGCGAGCATGTGATGTTGGAACTGTTGTTCTCCGTTTGAAGCTTTGGATTGGTCTCAGCTCTGCAAACACCAACCTGCTGTGGGAGATTCCTTTTTACCTACGATTCTATTCATGATTCTGAAAACAACATCAAGGACTCGGAAGCAAAAGAAGCCGTCGCGACAGCCTGCTTGATAGCTCCTTGGTAGGCATAGTGCGATCGCGCGATGGTATATAACTCATCCGGAATCTGAACCCGAATATATCTAGGGCCTAGTGAAAGGAATCCGCAGCGAGTAAAGGGAATAACTGCTTAGTTTTCAGGGGGCTCTTCAGGAGGCCAACGGAGCCACAGAGCAGGGGGCTGGTCAGGGGCTAGGGACCACGAGAACGTATATATAGGCATTGCGGAGGGCCAGAATTCAGACAAGTTTCGCCCGCATACCTGCTCAATTGCCCGCGGGCCTAGTGCGGGAGGTCTCTTTATTCTATTTAGACTACGCTCTGGCAAGGCTCTAGACAGGTCGAATACTCGATGCCCTCTCTCGAACGGTGGCCCGTTGGCCCTTGTTACGGATGCGAGTAGTGCAGCGTAGCCACTACACCGAAAGGTCTAGCAACCCAGGGTCGCTGGAACTGACTAGATGCTACGCCTATAAGGATAGGTCTTCGCAGTTCATGATTCTGTTATATAGGTCATTAGCCCTATATAACCTAATAGGTGTGTAACAGCCCTCCTTATTACTAGTTCCTCGCTCACACGATGTCGAAGCAGCCTTTGGCAGGAAGCAAGTAGCTACCCTGGTCACCATGGACATAGAAGGAGCTTTTGACACCGTCTTAAGCAACAGGCTATGCCTCAGACTCAGGGAGCAAGGCTGGCCTTACAACGTTATTAGATAGGTAAAACACTTCACCGACCAGAGATAGGCCCGGGCTGCTGCTAGTAGTGAATGGGGACGGACGGCACTCCAAGCAGCATCAGCAGGTGGACATTTTCACGTTGTCGAAGGGCTCCTCGCCGCTGGTGCCGACGTTAATGCTGCTGCTAGTACTGATTTTGGAACGACAGCGGTTCAAGCAGCAGTGAGGGGTGGTCACGACCAGGTTGTCAATAGGCTAATCGCCGCTGGAGCTAAAGGCTCCAGAAAGTCTAACCAGTAGATATTACTATAAGACCCTGTGAGGACCAGCTGCTTTGTAGCAGGGAAGTTATTGAGCTCGCTTGAACGCTCCTGGTATATTTAGTTGCTGAATATAATGCCTGTGAGCTTCGGAGTGGCCACCGTTTTAGTGACACCACCAATTGCCTTTTCCCATAAACGGAGTTTCGATTTTGAACTAGTTGAAGCCGGTGGACTCTGCGCTCCCCACTTGCATATTTTATAACTGCCGCCAAAGGGCTCGGACTTTCCTCATGTTGGGGGAATTCATTCTGTTTTGAAACAACTGGGAGAACGGACAGAGTGTCAGCTGTGACGCAATGAGCTGGCACAAATCTGCTGCTACAGTTTTGGATGAGAGGTTGATTTCTGCTGCACTTTCGAATTCGAACTTGACACTAAAAGCAAGCACACTGCAGCGAAGAGTTCCACCATTTAGAACCAACCCAGGAGGTTGGCAAAAGCCGAGAGCAGCGATGCACGTTCTTCGCTGCTCTACTGGAGACGTCTAAAAGGCGAAGAAAGCCTCCCACCTTGACCTACCAGCCTGTCAGAGCGTTATTAGAGCAGAGTGAAGAGGTCTTCCACATGTAGTCCGCAGATAGATAGAAGGTAGGTATGGGGTTGGAATATATCAAAATTCTAGCCACCCGCAGCTTAGAGGGCCCTCCGTAGCCTATATATACGTTTCCCGTAGCCCTGAACCCCCTGGTTGACCCCCTGCTTGGCGACTCCGCATTGACTCCTGACAATATATAACCAAGCTGAAGAAAAATACGATTCGAAGCAAGGCCGCGTTCGATTGACTCCGTGCAGCAGCAGGTCAGTCAGAATGCTAAATACCTTGCACATTAGGGGCTAGTGATCCTTGCAAAGTGATAACCCCCTCAGCTCAGAACTGTGCCACACAGCCTCTCGGATGAGCCTTGAGATATGGTACCAGCAGCCACCTAGAGCGCCCTCCAATGGATGTAGGTGTTACAGTCGGCCCCAAAGGGGCTTAGTGACAACCCTCACACGTTCGTAATTGCCTTGTTGGCAGCTTTCCAATTGAGCTAAATGGATACATGTTGAATCAATGTCGATAATTCTACTGGGCTTCATTCATGTATAAGCCACAGGCCTATACTACGTCACGGGTATAACCCGTAACAGTAGGACGGGGTTCGATTGAAGATGGAGGCTCCGGGTTCCGGGCCCCGCTTGACCCCGCACCCGGCGCCCGGCCAGCCCGACGCCTCAGGGTCCAGTAGCCGGGCGGGCATTCGCTTTCCTCCCATGATGTATGTGAGGCGTAAGCGACAACCCTGCAGCTCATGGGCCCGCTGCCTGACGAAAACTCAATATTGTTCTGCCGATGAATGGAGACCGAGATGTATTGTCGTCCAGGGCGCGCAGCTCATTGGGCAATGGAGAGACACTAGCAGCCTTGGCCTTGTCGACTCATCATGATCACTTGGAGGGGGACGCAGATCTGCATGCATTGTTCTGTTCGCTTCTTATGAAGGTCTATAAAACGCTTGATCGACGGTTCTAACCCTCCAAACATTGCTGACAGTGCTCTCGCCGTGGTCATTTTCACATCGACATTATCGACTATACACCTCTAGTCTACAAACGGCCTAAAAAACACCAGCACAATGGACGGCCTCCCCGCCGACAACCTCCTCGATGACTTCCCCATCGACAGGATCGGCCTACAGCCGCTGCTCAAGATCTACACGCAAATCTGCCACATCTACGCCATGCCCGACGACTCGGAGACGGCCCGTGCCAAGGCCATGGAGACGCTCACCGGCGGCCTCGAGCGTCTCTCCGCCGCCTTCCCCTGGGCCGCCGGCAAGATGGTGACGGTCAGAGACGAAGCAGCCGGCACAGAAGAAATGTACATTCGCCCGCACGAGAAGATCCCCCTCCTCGTACAACGAGACGCGCGCGACGACCCCGCCGCACCCACCTATGACGCGCTCGAACAAGCCCGGTTCCCGATCAACATGCTCGACGAGAGCCTCATCGCTCCCATCGCCACGTTTCCCCTGCCGGACCCCAACGACCCCTCGCCCGTCGACCGCATCTTCGCCATCCAGGCCACGTTTCTCCGCGGCGGCCTCATCCTCTGCTTCGTCGCCCACCACGGCGCCATGGACATGAACTCCCAAGGCCGCCTCATCTCGCTCCTCTCCCGCGCCTGCGCGACCACGGCAACCAGCCCGTTCACAGAAGAAGACCTCGCGGCAGGCAACCTCCGACGCACGGAAGCCATCGACCTCATGGACGACGAGGAATACGCCGCCCTAGACCCAGACCTGCTGGCGCCGCACCTCCTCCCGGCGCCCCGCTCCCTGCAGGCCAACGACGAAATGGTCGAGCTGCTCACGGACCCGTCCTTCCCCCTGGGCAAATGCGCCTGGGCCAACTTTGACCTCCCACTCTCGACCCTCGCGGCGCTCAAAAAGCAAGTCCTCACAAGCGGCGCGCTACCAGCCGACACGCCCTTCGTCTCAACGGACGACATCCTCACCGCCTTCATCTGGTCCGCCATAACGCGCACCCGCCTGCCGCGCCTGCGCAAAGCCGGCATCACCACGGCCGGCATCGCCCGCGCCGTCGACGCCCGCCGCTTCCTGCCCATCTCCCCCCACTACCTCGGCCTCCTGTCGACCATGACCTACGCCACGGTGCCGCTCGACGCGCTGGCCGGCCCGGCGGACGGAAGGGGCCTGGCCGTCGTGAGCGCCGCGCTGCGCAGGGAGCTCGACCCCGCGACGGAGCGCGTGGGCCGCCGCACGCGCGCCCTGGCCTCGTACATGGACCGCGTGCCCGACCGGACGGCCGTCAGCTTGACGGCGGGGATGGATCTGAAGAGCGGCGTCATGCTGAGCTCGTGGGCTGGCGTCGACTCGTATGCGCTGGCGTTTGGGCTGGGGTTGGGGCTGCCGGTGAGCGTGCGCAGGCCGCGGTTCACCCTCGTCGAGAGCTTGATCTATCTGCTGCCGCGGTCGACGGATGGGTCCGTCGGCGTGGCCATTTGTCTGCTGGAGGAGGATATGGAGCGTCTCAAGGCGGATGCGGAATGGAACGAGTTGGCAGACTTTGTGGGCTAGTTCAAGACATCGCGTTCGTCCAACAAAAAATTCCAGTGGTGTACCATCCATCAGATCATCGCCTTCTCCCGGGAATGCAACAGGCATCAAAGTACATTCGCCTTGATCTAGTCGACAAGTCTCCATAATACTCACGAAAACACCATAAAAATGACAAGTCAGAACCCGAGCCAGACAGAAAAAATACCCCAGCGACACGTCAAACTCTCCATGCCAATCCAGACATCCCAAACCAGACCTGTCAAACCCAACCTAGCACACCAGCGACACCACTCCCATTTAATTTTGCTGCCATCGAATCCCCAGCCCCGCGTTTTCTCTTGCCTTGACATCCCCATGTCCGGGTGCCCAACCACCCATTTCCACTCGCCCCAGCCCCGACCTCGTGCGCACCATATCCTCCGCGGTCACATCTGCAACCCTGCTCTGCGTACCGTCGACAGGGCTCCGCGAAGGACTGCGCGACCCGCCGCTCAGACCCGCCGTGCCAGTCCGAGGCAGACGACGGGGCGCCGCCGAGGATCCTAGCAGCGAGTCGCCCCTCGACCTCGTGTGCCTCCCGTGCTCCTGCTCCCATGCTTGGTACGATGTTTGCCCGATGCTAAAGGCTGGAAGCCGGGGCGAGGGCTCCGTCTCCACCACCGAAGCCGCTCGGCCGCGACCTGGGAACTCTCCACCACGACTGCGACTACGTCCTCTGCTCATGGGCACTGGCTCCCTGGGAACCGAGCTCGGGTAGCGTGACATGGGCTGCGACGTGTAGCCAGTCACTGGATGCGGGCTCAATGGAGTGGCATCGCCCTGCGCTGGAGGAGAGAAGAGAAAGGCTGGTTGATGGGTGTGCGGTGCTGACTGTGGCCATGGTTTCGCACTGGTCCACTCATCGTGTGGTTGTGTCGAATGCTCCGCCTTGGTCCGCTCACCGCGATAGTTGTGCTGCAAACTACTCTGTCGGTTGGTAGACACCGAGAGAATTGGAGGCGCAAAGGGGCCTTGGGATATCCCAGGGCTGGAGTTGCTTGTCTGCATGTCACTCGGAGCCATAATTTCCATTTCCCCGTCCCAGTCTAATAAGTCATCTCGTATATCGCGAGGGTTTGAGTGCGGGTAAGGATCGTAAGGCGGCACCCAAGATGACTGCATCAAAGCTTGTGTCTGCCCTAGAGACTTCGCTTGGGGCAGTGAATGTGAACTGGAGGCGACCTGCGATGACAGTGGAGATCTCGATCGAGGTCCGCGCAAGAACGACGGGGCCATGCCATCGAGAACTGAGGTTGGGGCTGGCTCGGAATGGTAGTCCGGTCTGAACCCTTGTCCAGGTCGAATGATCTTGTCTGCGCCGAGCACAGGGCTGCGAGTCCGATCCTGAACTGGTCTGCCGCCGCGATTTGGCGGCGGTGAGGCTTTCTTGATATTCCTAAGCCCCGCTTCGGCCTGGCTCTCGGAGAGGACGCGGGCATGACCAGGCATCCAGATGTTCGGAGTGCTTTCGGACATGGAAAAGAGACCTCTAACTGACTCCCGGCTGATGCTGACGCGGGGGTCATTGCTGGCTGAGGCATCCCTCCACGCCCCAGCACGGTCTCGGTAACGCCTGTTGTCCATCCTCCGGAGCGCACGATGCTGTGGTACACCTGCACCTTCACTCATCCCGCCGTCGTTCCACGGAGGGCGCGGCTCCGAAAACGGAGTCACGGTTCGGTCGTCCGCATCATCGTCCTGGAATGGCGGAGCAGGCATCGTATTGTCATAGGGGAAAGGCATCAAGCGAGGCGGGACTGGGTACGGGACATGGTAGTCGTGCGGATTGGTATGGTCGATGGGGGACCGATAGAAGCTGTCCGGAACACGCCCAGCGTCAACGAACGAAGAGTTGGACAACGAGGATGACCCCTGAGAAAGAGACGGAGCCGTGCCCGTTGACCAGCTGTTCGACCGCTGGAATACCGAGATCCTCGGTGCCTCGTCACCATTGACGATGCTCGCCAGAACGGCACGCTGAAGCCGGTCAAGCTCGGCAGGAATGCTCTCTAGTCGCAACCTGAGCTCACGCCTTGCTGCATTGAGCTCAGGGGCAAGCTGTGTCTTCTTCATTTTGTTGACATGCTCTAGGAGCCGCTTGCCGTGAGCTGAGTATCGTCTGTAGTCGTCAGGCATGCCCAGACCTGGCTTGTTGGGATTCTTGCTCTCAGGCTTGGCGCTCTTCATTCTGGCATCCGCCTCATCAAATGAGCGACAAAATACGGCAATGGCCCGTTCAAGCCAGAACTGCTTGTCGTCCGCCAAAATGTTGGCAAAGAACACCTGTGTAACGCTGTGGGTCCACAACGTGTCGAGCGGCTCCGTCTGCGTCTCTCCACTGTTATCCGAGGTTTTGCTACTCAAGGACAGAATCTCAGCTGTTTCGCTGCGTTCGATGAGGGCGAATGCGATGAGTGTGGCAAACGTTTTGTTCAGGCTTCCCTTCGTCTTGACAGACGTCCGAGTATCCAGCGCCTTGAGACCCAGAGCCAACATCTCCACAGGAATGAGCTGGCCGAAAAAGGAAAGTATATTGATGAGATTGAGCGCGGCAGTCTCGCCGCGGTCTTGTAGGTCATCGCGGATCGACTGGAAAGCTGGCAGGGCTGCATCGCCAATGTGGGGCTTGGCTTTCCAGGACTTGAGGTACTTCGAGAGTGGTTCCCTGGTGGCCTTCATCTGTTGAGCGGCACTGTGGATCATCAGAGGCAGACAGTCCATCAGCTTGACCAGTTTGGCGGCCATGTCGAGGTCCTCGGGCTTGTACGGCTTGTGCTTGCCCAACTCCCCAAGGAGCAGTTCCTGGCTCTCGGATACAGAGAGCAAGCCCAGCTCCAATATGGCTGGGTTGTTGAGGAGATGACTGCCAGCGACGGGACGCTCTGTGGAAGTGAAAATAATGCTGGTGTTCTTGTTGTCCGGGACGAAGTGACCAATGGCCGTTGGGTCATCGAAGCGGATGCCGTCAAAAATGATGAGCCATCCCTCCAGCTTATTGAACCAACTCCGTACAACATCAACCATTTTCTTAGGGTCTCGAAGGTCCAACTCGGACCTGTGGTCAATCATCTGTCGGATAGCATCGTTCTTGGCAATATGCCAGAAGTCGTCCTCCATCTCCTGTAGCGTGCTCGCCCTGATCCAATAGATGCCGCCAGGGTAATGGCTCTTGTGATTGAAGATGTATTGTTTACCCAGCGCGGACTTTCCGATACCGGACATGCCTTGCACGACGACGGCCGAGGTACCCAGGGAGCGTCGGTGCTCGTCTAGCAACATCGTATGCAAACCAGCGAGCTCCTTGTCACGCCCGACGAAGACAGTGTCCGGGTGAAAATGGCTGGGGGTGATGAAAAGCGACGAGCGAGTCGATTGCGCGTGCTGCAGGAAGGGCGTGCTCAAACTCGGCGTAGTACGTGGTGGGGCAGATGGGCCTTCAAAATGTCCGGAGGAAGTCATCGGCGTGTTGAACCCCGGAAAGCCAGCAGCAGCGGGGCCGAGGCGCTCGGTGGCATCCTCGATGGCACGCTGGCGCGATTCGTTCCTTTCAACGTCCCAACGGCGCTCGATGACGGAGGGGCCCTGAATGACCCACTCGCGGATGGCGCCGGTCACAATGCGGTAGCCGTGGCTTGTCGAGCTGCTGAACTTGCACATGTTGGAGTGCGTGGCCTCGATTCCAAAATATTGAACGCCGGGAAGCTCCGGGTTGGCAGAGGCCGAGTCGACAACGAGGCGTTTGGTAATGGTAAAGTCAGTCTTGTGATTCTCATGGGCCATCTGAATCTTGAACCTCTGGTAGATGTCGAGGAAGTGCACATTTATGTCTCGGAGTGTCTGATTGTTCTTCTTCAGCGTCTTGATCAAGACGGGTTCGCTGTCAAAGAGTCGTCTCGGCATGGTCGCTCTGGCCATATTTTGCAGTATGGAACCCCAGGTTGCGAGGCCGGATCCTTTGTGGGGTGTACCCAGGAAAATGATGCCAAAGGTCGAGACGAAAATAGAGCGTGAGGCTTCATGGTGTCTGTCTTTGAGGTCGTTGGAGTAGTTGAGGGCACGCTTCAAGAGAATGCCGCCGAGGCTGTGAGCAACCCAGATAATGGGTCTCGTTGCGGTGCCCCTCGTGCCACGGTAGGATGTGAGATCGGTCACGAGGGTTTGGGCATGCTCGTAGATGTAATTGTCACTGGCGCTGCGTTCGCTGGTGCTGGCCGTGTCGGCGTTGTACCCGTAGACGAGGACGTCGACTGGAGCGTCTGGGCCGAGCGTGTTGGGCAGCAAGTCGACAGGCCAGTAGACGGCCGAGTCCTTGGCAGTCCACGTCCTTGTGGGGTTGCCGTTGAGGCCATGGAGGAAGACAATGTCTGCCTGTGCGTCAGGATGGGCATATACGCAAGTAATGCCATCGCGGGGGATCTCTTGCCGATCGACCATGTCGATGGCGGGAGTTTGGACGTTGGGGATCAGTAGCGGTGGCTCAGGCTTTAGTGGGCTGTCTGTGGTGGGATTGTCGTGTTGATGACGCCGTACGAGCGGCACGTATAATGAGGTGAGGTCAAGACGAATGAATAGAGGAGAAGCGAGCAATGTGCAATGTGCAATGTGCGATGCGTGTGTGCGTAATGTACTGAACGCCGACAGAAAGTCCCGGGGATGATGCGACTCCTAAATAGAGAATAGACGCAGTGGTCGGCAGAGCCTCATCAATGCCATTCGAAAAGGGGCGTCGTCATACCGCCGCGAGGCGAGATCAGGCTCTGCCTCGTGAAGTTCGACTCTTGGCTGCGTGGGGTGAACAAAGAAAACTGTAGAGCTTGTTGGGTGGCTGAAGTTCTGCAGTGCGTGAAGAATCATGAAGGATGGAAGCGAGGTTCAGGGGCTCAGGTGGCAGAAGAGAGGCTTCATGGGCTGGCCGCTGGCTGTCTTGTCCTCCGCGGGTCGAGGTACGTCTCTCTCATCCCGGTCCTTCTTACAGGTGATGCAGGTGCATGTTACACCGAAGTGAGGGGAGCGAATTGAGTCGAGTGTCGCTCTTTCCCTTCCTTGGCTGCTCCAGTGGCAGTTGCTACCAGGATGCGCCAGCCTGAGGGTGTTGAGCGAGCCGAGCCAGTGGCAGGAGCATGAAACACAGGCGCCTTCCCGCGGATGTCCAATGGGGAGCAGCAACTCATCGCCGTGGCTGGGGCTCAGCTGAGAGAGGGAAGGACCGCAGTCTGTGCAGGGCAGGTCCAGCTCATCCGTCATGGCTGCCTGTCTACAGTCTTTGGGCTCTCTCTCTTCCACCTCGAAAGTTGAAAACCACGTCCACATCTTGATTCCTACTACTATGAGTCCTCAATTGGCCTCCTCGACAATGCCATTATCGGAAGCGTCTGCGGCTCCGAACAGCCCCCGCGCGGCACATCCGATGGACCGAAAGCGCTTAGCACACGTGCGCCAGTAACGTTTCACTGCTCGGTGCCTCGAGGGACGACAGGCAGCCAGCCTTCTTTTGACTTTCCTTTTTGCCCCCTTCGTTGCTAGACCCAAGCTTCGTTCGCGTGACACACCTCGAGCCATTTCGGTCACCACAGAACTGAGATGCCGTCGAAAGTTGCGTTGCGATCACCAAAGTGATGGTGCCATTATCGCTCTACTGCCCCGTGGCTTGACACATTTTCCCCCGAAGAGTCATATGGCGGCACCAATTGTCAATTTCACACCTTTGGATGACGAACCTTGCGGCCTCGCGGCCTTGCCACGCCTTGCCCTCGAGCGGGCGACGCCAGTAACAATAGTCTATTCGTGGCGCCGTGTGAGGCCGCCTTGATCTCTTCTTTGTGAGTGCTTTTCGAGGCTCGCGGTGATCTGCTCTCAGCTGGAGACGAAGACGACTGATGGTGTTGTTGTGTTGCATGCAGGTCTGTGGATTCGACAAGAGAACAAAGGAAAATGCCCATAGGGGGCATAATCTAGGACCCCATGGCACGACTTGTTGGTCACACAGCCCCGAGGACTGCCAATCCCAGCGTCGCACTCGATTGCTGATCTGGGTGCACAGCAGGGGTGCAGTGCATCATGCATCGCAGTGGAGCCTCTTGCAGCCTTAAAACAGGTACCTGAATGGATTGAACGCGTGTTGTTTCCAACATCAACATGATATCGTATGCATCGCCTTGGACACCGACATGCTCTTAATTCTGTTCGCAACTGAACCTCCAACCCCGACTCGGCGAGAAAGCGGTCATGGAATTTCGGATAGCACGGCGTCAGGCTTTTTCCACTTCGCAGACCGAGCTGCACAACACCAGCTGACCTGACAAACGAACCAAGCCTCCAACCCACCCCGGAAGTCCCCCGAATGTTGAACAAGCTGTTACCAACTAATGTCAGTTTATTGTAATAAACAGCCTTTTTGAACTGCGATGTCGGAACTTCACAACTCGGTGTCACAGATTCGTGCGCCACGTAGCACACCTCAAGCCTCGACTTTCAAGCCCCCTTTGAGTCATGCTGTCGGGCTTCCATCAGACGACTAATCTGGCCGCGAGCCCTGCTTTGCGCCGAGCCTCACATTGCGAGGCGAGATAATAGTCAAGCAGGTGACATTTACATTCAATCCGCAGTCACAATTTGCCCCAGGCCTCTACTTTCAGGGGACTAATTTATGTCGTATAGTACGAAAGGAAAGGCAAGTAGGATATGAACTTAGTTATGTACTACAACGCACACTGTGATGCTCAAGGCTACAGGCGAGTTGCTTCTAGGTTTATGAGATGAGAATCGCCGGCAGAAGCATGTGTCGCAGACGACGCTGATCCGAGCGCTCAACGCTTACTAGATCCTGAGCCCCAAACATAGACACCCATTTTGTTTTCACAAGCAACCCTCTCACATCTTTACGTAGCATTATAGGAGCTTCTCGTCGTGGAGAGAAATTCAGCCCCATAGGCCGATGCGTCGCTGACAATGATGGTCCTCCTGAAGGCCACGCCCAGCGCCATGCACTTTTCCAGGACTAGGTCCCGATACGGCTTGACATTAATCAAAGCCCCTGACATGATAAGGATGCTCTTCAATGGGTTGCACACGCTCATCGATGCCAGCGGCTTGACTATACGCGCAAAGTTACTGGCCGCGTCGTGAAGAGTTGCTAGCGTTTGCGGGTCCGGGTCCGCCCACGACTTGCGAGTTCGGCTCGAGCCCGGTCACAAACGCCTGCAGATGACCTTCTACGCCCTATTCTCCGCTTCGCAATATCCCGGTGCAGACCAGAGAGTCCCACTTCCCAGGCGGGTTTGACGCTGCCGCGACAGCGCTCGCTTAGGGAATCGATGCTAGCGTTCTCATCCAGCTTAGGAATGTTGTGTATGTGTTGAGAAACAGTGCCCAGAAGTGGCCTTCCTACGCATATCTGCCGGAAGATGCGTCTCCCTCTCCCGTGGAGCTTCTCGTTGTTTGCTCTGACATCGACTATGAGTCCCGGGTGCGTTCTGCCGAGTTTGATCACGGCGCAGATGCTGATCATGTTCAGGACTTGCTTCGCGCAGCTGCCTGGCTGGATGCGCGTACTTCCGTCAAGCATTCGGGTCCGACGGGACGATGGGGAGATGCTTGACGCCCATGCTCTCCATGCGAGATGACCGCGTGTTGGCTGTGACCGCCGTCAGGGCGCCGTGCCGTGCCATGCCACATCGCCACCTCCTGAGTTTGACACCAGCGAAGGGTCACTTCTCCCTGGGGGTCACTTCTCCCTGGTGGGCCGAGCTTGTAGGCGAGAAGGGGGTCATTGCGGCGTAGCATGCCGAGATCCGGATCGAGGTAGAGGGAGAGGTGGTCCGGCTTGGAGAAAGCTCACGAGCGTTATGGCCGAAGATGAGCGACAGGCCCAGAGATGTGATTATTGGGCGCTGAGTATATAATCCCGGCTTCTTAAATGTCGTGAGGATATATGCGTTTTTCAGAAACGTTACAGTAAAATCACGATGCCACACCAAGTGACAATGGCAACAAGTTGAAGGTCCATCGCATACAGCTTCCATTCCCAGAGACTCCATTTCAAGAAGACAAGAAATGTTTTTGGACATTGATATACTCCTAGATCACGTAGATCAAGCAAACCCCCATTTTCCCCATTTCCGCATCCTATACTCTTTAACACTTCTCATGCATTGAGAGCCCTATCCCACTGATTGCCATCGCCGCCCTCCTAGTCTCACATCCAGTCATCAATTTCTAACTCATAGCAGTGAATCTGAATTCATTGCGTCAATCCAGCTTCTTCGTGCAATCCCAGACTTCCCTTTGTCGGGCCGCGATATGGAGACCAAACACCCATCATATCAACAATACCATTGGGCAGAAGAACACTATGACGAAGCCATTATGATCTCTCCGTCAGACTGGAGAACCAATTTGTGTACCTGTTGTTTTTGCCTTTTCCTTCGTCTGGACATTTTGCCAATAGCATTCGAGGTTGTATTAGGTGGGCAGGTCATTTCAGGCTATAACACAGAACAGCGCTATCGAACAAAGCCGGACTAACACTCGCAGAGGCTTTGATACGTAATGACTTTTCTATGGTGACGGAATTTCAACCTCATTATTAATTAGTCCCGTATACAGTCGCGCCCAGCTACTGGCTATATTACGATTTAGGCAGGGCACTAGAAGTCAGATGCTTCGCAATGAGAGCTAATGCCTTGAACCGTATTAGAGCGTTAGTTAGAGTAGAGTGAAGAGGTATCCCGTACGTAGTCCGTAGTAGATAGAAGATAGGTCGGGGGTCGTAATATATCTGAATTCTAGCCCTCTATAGCTTAGAGGGCCCTCCGTAGCCTATATATATACGTTCTCGTAGCCCTTAGTCTCTAGCCGACCCCCCGCTTAGCAGCTCATAGGGAACCCATAGGGTCCTCTAATAAACTATAAGACTTAATACTATATAAATCACCTTGATAGCTAGTACTAGATTTTCGAACCCGTAGTAAAAGTATCCTATCAGCTTCTAGTAGCGATGCCCGTGTTATCCATAACTATATTAAGTGCATGATTTGGCTCTCTAATAATGCGCTTCGTCGACTCGGGTATGGCTCTATAGTGCCGCCCGGCCGTGGTCACCCAGTATATGAAAGCCATGGAAGTTAATGATGCATATACTATTAAAGCGCTTCATAATTTCATGCGGAGTCGCATATAATGGCTTATAGAAATGATTTGCATGGGTGCAGAGTGGAAGGGTATAACGGTAAAATCCTACTGCTCGTACGGAATTTCAGATGGGCTTCCCTGGGTGTCTGATGAATATATAGAGAGTTTTTTTACTGATGAATAATTTACCTTTCTAGTACTTCCCCTTTATCGACAGGACCTCCCTGATAAGTCTAGATAGATCAGCCGTTCACGGAGCTTCCACTTGTCACCTGATGTTCGGCAGTGCGGTACTTCTCCTAACCTCTTGATATCTATGACACATACTGGATTTATCTGTCGTTGGTTCCTCATTCTTAACGTTCCTTATCATCTCAACCGCAATTTTTCTCCACTGGCCATGGCTGAAAGATGGAAGAGTCAGAAGTGCTCAGCCAAGTGGCGCCGGCTTCGAACAATCCCCGACACGGCCCTTGACTCTCCTAAGCTCACCTCGTATTCAGTATAACACGCTCGCGAATGTCTCAAGATATCGGGACACATTGGACTATGCAGAATGTAGAATGCCGGTAAACGGAAGAAGCCACTCGTCCGCCGACCAGGAAGCAGGATGGCCAGTAGTAGGAAACGGGGAGGGGTGAATCGAAGGTTTGCTGTGAAAACTCAAATTTTCCCAGCCAATATGAAGGAGGCCAAGACAGAAAGGTGACTGGACAAGGTAATACTACTGAGATAGCTTGAGACCACATTTTTCAGGTGACCATCGGTAAGACGCGCTTCCTGCTCGTGGCGTGTTGCCTTCGCTCTACGACCTCATCACCAACTCACGATACAACCTCACCAAGCCCGCCCTGCCAAGAAGAGATGCAAACGGCGGTGGGCCGCGACGAAAAGGGGGTGTCGGTCAGAGATTGCCCGCAGTGCCTCGCTTAGGTGGTTGAATGTCTAGCTTCACATCACGGCTGAGCTATGCTAGGAAGTATGACAACACGAGGTCTGCTAATCTCAACGCCCAGACTAACAGAAACGTAAACATCATGCTGTACTAAGCGTGTGATGAGCGTGCTGGAACCTGCGTGTGGGACACTTCGCAGCTGCAGAGCAGCAACTCAATGTTGTGATGTTTGCGGTAGTCCCACGACACCATTGGCGTGCGTAACGGGCGTCAGGACGCTCAGAGTCGCCACTACCGTATCGTAGCAGACGTCAGATGGAAATAAGTGCGTCAGGGTACTTCGCCCGTTACTAGTGTCAGGTTCATGACAGGCGGTAGGAACACGGCTGAGTGAGTTGCCGAACGACCACCGCCGTCTCCTACGCCTCGTGACCCCCTGTCTCGGACCGCCGACCCTTGGGTACCCGCTCAGACGCGCTATCTATCATGTCGATAGCTTCGAGCTTCAAGCTCCAGCACCCAAGCCCCAAGCTCACAATCTTGAGCTCCCATCCCCCTAGGCTTTGCAAGCTTGGACTCCTGAACCACGCCGCAACCGAAGCCGCAAACATCAATGCTATAATGTTGCTTCTGCACCGGACTGCTCGCTCCTCCCCAGCCAAGCTGTCAAGCTCTTGGCGCCGGTTCGCCTTCTCCTGAAGCCTGCCCCAGCCCCCGCGCGAACAGTCAGATCAGCGGCGCTTCGGGGGGAACGCGCTGCTGCTGCTGATCTCCCGGCTTGGCCTTTTCTACGCCCGTCTGCTACTATTTCAGAAAGCATTGTCCAAGGCTTGCGCACTCCTACTTAGGGCATCTGACGAGGTATGCTCTGCTGGGCCAGAACCGTCCATATCTAGTGAGGCCTAACAAACTTGAATTACAGAAGGTCCCTTATCTTCGGCATTCGTCCCCAGAAATCATAAAAGATCGTCGCGTCTAAGGGGGGGGGGATGGACAAGTTTGTGGCGTTGACCAGATATTCCGTGGCTTGGTGTGGTTGTCTCAACTGCGCAGGCCATGGATGGTCTGGTTGACTCGCGGTACTCGCTCTGGCAAGACCGCTTGAGGGGTCGTGAGACTCGAGGTGACAGCGGCAGGAGACTGCAAGGAGACCAGGGCCAGACAATCCAGTCGTTGCCCGACCACAGCCTTCCCCTCCAATCACTGCTAATCGGCCCCCTCTTTTTCTTCTTCCCGAACAATGTGGTGTGTTGACAAGTAGTGCAGTGCTACGTGGCTCTCCCTTGTACTACAACACAGTGTACAAGGGCTGTCTTGTCTGATTGTGAAGAATTTACACAGGAGCAGGACGAATCGGGAATGAGGAGGGATCCAATTAGGTCTAGTCCATGTCCTCCCCAGCCTGTGCCGCTCGGATTGTAAACCCCGGCGGGATGATCGGATCGGATCGGTATCTAGTGGTTGTGTCGCAGCCGTCTTCCTTGAGATAACAGCCCTGCAAGGATGAGATCATTCATCCGCAAACACGAAACCTCCAGAAGCCTGGCGTCTCGGCGTGCGACTGCTGCCGCGCCTCGCAGGCAGCCGGAACAGGCCAGCTTTAGCGATGACTAAACCACGCCTCCATCTTGGCCTGCCGTCTGTCTCAGGCTTCGGGCTGTAGTTCTCGAGCAAAAGAGGGGGACAGGCAGAAAGGTTGAGGGAGTCTGGTCGTCATACCCTTCGGGGGCTGCCGTGGGGAGTGCTCGCTGTGGCCGCTTGCATGAGGGATGCTTGGCATCTCAGCCACGAGTGAAATGTCTCAGACACGGCCCCTCCAGGGCATTAGAGGCTTCGGCTGCCCTTTGCCGATGGATCTAGCCCTGCGAGCTGTGTACTGATTGAAACGGGAGCAATCTACCCACCTCGTCTTCATGTGAGTCTAGCTGGATGACAGGTCGACTAGCAAGGGGAGCTAAGCCCGCCTAGCTCCCTTTCTGATCGGACTGCATTCTCCTAGTCGAGATGGCACCATACTCTTTTTGGCAGTCTTCTGTAGATCTTCCCGTCGAGCGAATTAAGTGGACGTTGGCCAGAACCGCACTTTGCTTCACTATGCAAAGGAGCATCCCCCAGGAGAAGAATGACCTTGTCACAGTCATGAGCATCGCGTACCTAGCGTGGCAGCTGCGCGGCGGCGACGAGGACGAGCCGCAAGCGTCAGGCTTGGTCCTTGTGTAACGCTCTTCCGTCGGGGGCCGCGCGAGCTGAGGAGCGAGCGGATGTGCGGATGCGATGGGATCAGCGAGCCATGAGGAGTGGCATGTGGCGTCTTAGCCTGCAAGGTACGAGGCGCAGAGTCCGGGCGGTGCTTTCTCTGTAGTGATCTGATCTACGGTGGAATGCAGGGGTTTAGCTGTTTGAGACCTCGCATGAAGACCGAGGGAGCTTTCGCGACGTACTCGGCAAAGTCTGACGGTTGACATTCAGCTTGGTGCATGCATGGGAGGCACGTTGGAGGTGAGCTACACGTGGTGAAAGGAAACAAATGAGGCTGGATATCTAAAGATTTGACAAGTGAAGGCCAGGATATGGTGCGAATAGGGACAGAAGCTCGTCTATCAAGAATCTTGGCTGAGCACTTCCCGGTACACCCAAGTATGATGCTGCCAAGGCCAGGGCCCCAAGGCCAGGCCTCCGCCATTTTCTCGCTTGTGCTTTTGCGACGAAAGTGACAAACATCCTCCACGTCATGTTCCTCGCCGATAGCGCCCTCCATGCTCCCTGCCCTAGGCTGGTATTGTGGCACCCTCCACACGATCCACGACATAGGCACAGGAAGCATTTACTCGGGCGGTAAGCTTTTGGCTAGCCTCCTCGTGTCGTTTGTTTTAGGCCATGATATTGGATTTCAAGCCGACTCGTTCGTGCCCCGCTGAGGACATATCACGCCCTGCGTGACAGCGTTGCCACCCAGGGGCCTGCACCATAGTTCCAAGCATGTTGGACCAGTCCAGAGCTTCAAACATGTCTGACCCATCCTAGGCCATGAGCATGTCCGCAACCGTGCCTTTCTTCGAGCCTCGTGGACCTGAAGCCCAGGCCCTAAGAAACCCCAGGGCTGCGGCTGAGCAGGCCGTGGAGCTGGTGATGGGTGATCCTCTGGAATCGACGCGACGCGGCAGACGGAATGAGAGTATCCCTGGACCTCGTATGGGTACCAAATCATACCGTTCGTCTCAGCAGAGGCATCTACGAAAGCGGCGAGACCAGCGGCATAGCGACCCGGGGCTTGGGTCTTGCTGAGTCCCAGTCTTGAACCCTGGGACCCGCCTCCGCCCCTTTCAGACAAACCACATCGGTATCTTTGACTTTGGATTCCATGCTCTCGAATTGATATCGAGTATAAATCACCCCTATCCTCTTCTCTTGGCCTTTTTGTTACCTACTCGCTCATCTCATCCATCTCATCATCAAGACGATCATGATCTGAGATCCCACTACTAACAACAATAGTCGACACTATGATGACAAATAACCTTGATCGGCTGAGCCTGGCAGCCTTTGCTCTGCTCGCTAGCCAGGCCAGCATCACGGGCGCCTCCAGCATGCGCCGCGTCACTCGCTCCTCCTCCATCGACTCCCCCTCAGCCGCCGGCCTGGTTGCCCGCGCGGCCCAACACGAACCCTGCTGGTCAGTTATCTCCTTGAACCCCAAGGAGCACGGCTGCAAGGCGGCCGAGCTCGCCGTCAACGGCACATGTCAGCCGCTCACTTTTGGCGACGCTCTCGAGTCGTGCCCCGACGGCTGCGAGCCGGGCCAGTGGTGCGACGAAGGAAAATGCGAGCCCATCCAGATCATCCTTGACCCGCTGCATTGCGGCGATATCACGCCCGTCGAGCTCGCTCCCGGCGAAATCTGCGTCAACGGTGTTGCCATCGCTCTCGGCCTCACCGAGGATCCTTATGTCTGCGGCCCTGGCAAGGACAAAACCAAAGCCTGCGATCCCGGCAACTACTGCGACCACGGCGTCTGCACTCCCATCACCCTCGGCTCATCCACCGTTATTGTCGGCACCGATCCCTACCACTGCGGCGTTGACGCTGCCACCTGCGAGCCAGGCCAGATATGTGTCGACGGCGGGTGCCACGATGTTGCTGTCGGCCAGCCACTCAACAAGTGCAAGAAAGAAGATTTGCACCCCGGCACATTCTGCTGGGAGTCCGACATTGTTCCCATGCACATCAGCACCTACCCCGGCAGTTGTCCCGAGGGCCAGGTCTCCGTTTCGGGTATCTGCTTTGGCGACCTGCCCAAGACTTGTGAGCCACAAGGCGGCTCTGGGTCTGGGTCTGGGTCATCTTCAGGATCTAGCTCGGGCTCTGGCAGCCCCAGCTCCGGCACGGTCAAGGGGTCCGCGCAGTACGGTGGCTGGTTCCCCGATGCCGGTTACGGAAGCGTGCAACACAACGGGCAGTGGTATAACTTTGGCCGCCCCTCGAGTTGCGGCGACAAGTCGTGCGGTCCCAACTCTTTCTGCTGCGGCAACACATGCCTGCCGCTGGGCGGCGGCAGCGAATTTCAGGGATGCGGCAGTGGCTGCTCAAAAGGCGAATTCTGCTACCGCGAGAGCTGTCGTCCCGTCTATATCGGCCAGCCCGGCGGTGGACCTGACGGCGATTACGTCTTTGACTGTCCTTGCGGCGACACTGTTTGCGGACCCAACGAGGTCTGCATTGGCGGCGCCGTCTGTGTTGACCTGACACCCGGCAATCCAGACAGCTGTGGCTCCTACGGTGCTTGTCCTCCTTCCTTCGTCTGCCTCAAAGATACCTGCATCCCTGGAGGAGGAGGAGGAGGAGGAGGAGGAGGAGGAGGCGACGGCGAACCTGGTGTCTGCAACCCCACCTGCGCCAACGACGAAACATGTGTCGAAGGCGCCTGCGTCTCGCTCGCCCAGCCTGGAGGATGCGATCCCGCTTGCGAAGGCGACGATAGCTGCCTCAACGGTGTCTGCATTCCCCCCGTGGGACCCGGCTGCAGCCCTCCTTGCGGTCCGCTCTCGACGTGCGCCAACGGTGTATGCGTGCCCATTGTTGGCCCGAATGTCTGCTTCCCGCCTTGCGACAGCGACGACACGTGCATCAATGGCGTCTGTGTCCCTGATGCTGGCCCTGACTGCAACCCTGCCTGCTCTGGCACTGATACATGCATCAACGGCGTCTGTGTTCCTGTCGTGGGACCTGTCGCCTGTGATCCGGCTTGCGAGTCCGGCTTCCAGTGTGTTGACGGCCAGTGCGTTCCCGTCGTGGGTCCTGTCACTTGCGAGCCTTCGTGCCCTCCCGGCTCGACCTGCGTCAACGGCGTTTGCGTTCCGCTTGTCGGACCCGAGACTTGCGACCCTGCATGCACTGGCGGCGCGACGTGTCTCAACGGCGTCTGTGTTCCCCCTGTTGGCCCTGTCTGCGATCCTACCTGTGCGCCTGGCTCGGTCTGTGTCAATGGCCAGTGTGTTCCCGTTGTCGGACCTGACACTTGCACTCCCGCCTGCGATTCAGATGAGGTTTGCCTGAACGGCGTCTGCATTCCATCAACCAACCCTCCCGGCACCTGCGATCCCGCATGCACAGGAGACGACTCTTGTGTCAACGGCGTCTGCGTCCCTCCCGTTGATACCTGCGCCCCAGCTTGCACTGGCCTCGATACATGCATCAACGGAGTGTGTGTGCCGCCGGTCGGCCCCGACACATGCGATCCGGCATGCACCGGAACTGACACGTGCGTCAACGGCGTTTGTGTCCCCACCACCGGCCCCGTGTGCGACCCACCTTGCGGCTCCGATGAGCTTTGCGCTAACGGCGTTTGCGTGCCGGTGACTCCACCTTCCGGATGTAACCCCGCTTGCGGACCCGGCTTCATCTGCGGACCGGACGATACGTGTCTGCCCATCATCGATCCGCCCACTTGCAATATTGACCCGGCGGCGGCTGTCGGTCGTCGTCAGACGGGATCCTGCCCACCTGGTACGACTTGCGCCATGGGTCCCACCGGTCCCGTGTGTGTGCCGAATCCTCCCGACACCTGCACGAATGACTCCGAGTGCGACAACGGAGAGCAATGCGTTGAGGGTATTTGCATCGTCCTGCCGAACCCTGGCTTCTGCGAGCCAGCCTGTACTGGCACCGACACGTGCGTCCTCGGCGTCTGCGTTCCCTCGAACCCCACGTGCACGCCGGCCTGCACTGGAACCGATACCTGCGTCAACGGCGTCTGTGTGCCGCCGACGGGACCCGGTGTCTGTGAGCCAGCCTGCGAAGCTGACGAGACATGTAT